GTCACCTTTAGCTGTTATTAAAATGCTGTTTTTATGTTTAAATAGAAAATAAACTTATCTTCTCATCACTTACTCCTCTAAACGCCTTGAAATTGGCCTCTGTCTCTTTAAGAACCACCTTCCGCTTCTGTCTCGCCCATTTCGGTGCAGGGGGGTGTCACGCTCGCGAACGGTGGGGGGGCTGCCATGATGCAGTTTACTTTGCATCTGAAAATACATCTCCTCAAAGGTATTTTTAATCTGAAAAGAGCTTCACTCAGTGAGAACTAATGTTGAGAGCTCAGAAGACAGTTAGGTTTCACTTTCAGTTTCACCCGAGAGCCTGCAGGAGTCATGGGCGGGGTGTGTGGGGATGGGGGAGGGTGGGCACTCTGCCATGAGGAAGTTCGGCTTAAAGACACGTCCCAGGAGCGTTTCTGGTACCAAAAGGTGTTCCTGGTCCCCACCTGTCATTTTGCTCCTCAGCATGGCTTCCTAAAAACGCTGCAGGATTTCTCAAACATGTATGAATGAGTCAGAGCAAGGCTTTGGGCATGTTTTTTATGAGACTATAACATTATAACATGATATAAATCTCAAAAAGTTGATTTTACATGATATTGCCCCTTTAAGTAAAAGTCAAAAAACTGCTAAAAATAATCAGGAAAGTAATAAGTAATAGTGCATTTACAAGCACTCTAAAAAAATAAAGTGTCAGCTGGTTCCACTATGCTAAGTTGAGTAAATGTAAAGCAATGTGCACATTTTCTTTAATTCAACCTGGAAAGACTCYCAYACAAAAGCTGTGYTTAGAGYGTTTGACTCTGAGAATTGCAATAAACCTGGATGTGCAGCTTCAGATGAGGAATAGAGYTGTCTTCCCCCGGGGCCTGGACACTGGTGGTGGAGACCAAATAATTAATTTAGCAACATTTAGAATATATTTAGTTTATTTATGTAGRGCCAGGTCACYACGTGCATTGTCCCAGGACACTGCACCCWAAGTAAAATCAGACCAAGGAAGCCAGCAGACTCCCATTCTGAGCAGCAAATTGGTGACAGTGGAGAGGAAAAACTCCCTTTAACAGGAAGCTCAGGGCAGGCGGCCATCTGCCTCGACCGGCTGGGTTTGGGGACAGGAYCGGAGAAATCAGAAGGGRTGGTCCAGGTGTATAAGAGTCAAGAGAATGAGGGGGGAGAKGGGGAGGAGGTGGGGTGAGAGGAGCCATAGTTGAAGGGTCTTTTATCTAAAGACTTGTCCGATGCTGATAGGCTGCAGCAGAAACACATGACATGGCAACGGGATGACGCAGGTGTGTTGGGAGAGTGTCTTCCAGATCGAATTTACGCTTAGGCTTCATAAAATGAAATGTATGACTTGATCAATTTGCTCAACTTGATTTAGTGGAATAAATTGACATTTAGGTAAACTCAACACTAGCTGTGTTCCCATTGACCATGAAAATGCACAAATTAGAATTTCGAAAATAAATTTGCTCAATGGAAACACGTCATTTTCGAAAAAAAATATGTTTTTCGACAAAATGTTTTTGCGCTAGGATGAGGTGGTTTTTGATCGTATCGAAATTGGTGTTTTTCACAAAACCGCAACGGAAACACTTTTTTCGCATCACGGGAGTCACATGATCAAGAACCGGCTATTTCTACTGGCGAAAAAGACGACGACGAAGAAGATAACAGGAAGTAAAAGTAGTAGTAATATCACAGACTACAATTTCCCAAAAACACAGCATACGTAGCCGCTCTCAAGTAGGGGCTTGTCACTGGAAAGCCTCGATAAAAGACGCCGACGTCTCCTCTGATGATGAGCGCTAGTGTCGTGGTAGCAACATGCTATGTTTACATCCATTGCCGCCATGTTTATAATGACTTATCACAAGAACAAACATTTTCACGCGACTTTAATAGCATTTCCTACTTAATGGAAACACAGCAGTTGCGAAACTGTGTTTTTCGACATTGACAGAATATCGACAAAGATTTGCGCACATTTGCAATGGAAACGCAGCTACTTATTTTTTTACGATGAGATGCGGTCATATTTAAATTTGTAGCGTGGAACGAGATGTTAAGTTTTAAAGTAAAGAAGTAAAAGTATCATTTTTATGTTTTGAATGTAATGAAATAAAAGTAAAAGTTACAATAAAAAATACATGGTAAAATTTACAGATCCTCAAAAAAAAAACTAAAGTACTGTAACAAAGTAATGTACTTTGTTACTATACACCTCTGCTTATTAGTTGTTTGTTGGTGGGATTTTTGTCATYAAAGAGTAGCTAAGAGGATATATTTTGTTTGGACTACCTTTAGCATCCATAGTGTAAACCCTGGCCGTGCCTGGTATCCCTTTCTATTCGTAGCATCTGAGTCCGTTCATGTGGTGTCACTGCAGGCACAGAAGGCCCAAGGACAAAGTGCACCCGCCAACAGAGACATAACAGCCAAAACTACACAATCAGGTAGGTAACTGAGCGAAATAACCTTAGTTTGGATGAAACTTTTTTTTGTCTTTATGATTTTTCATAATTGTGTCTTCCAGAGCCACCTGAATACGAAGCCCGGGACATTAGTGTCAGGGTCATATCTCCAAAGTCTGTTCTTATTTCCTGGGTTGACCCTGCTGTTGAAATGGGAAAAGTTGCGCCGGGAGCATCCAGGTGGGCTTTTCTAAAATGTATATGTGAGAGATTGTTACAAAGAAACTAAAAGAAAGGTGAGCAAAAAAAACTTAATGAAATACATTTTGACTTACTCTACACTTAGGTCGTACACAGTCAGGTTCAGGGAGAAAGGTGAGTCAGCACGCTGGGAGTACAAGGAAAGCACCCAGAGGAGATTGATGATRGACACCCTGTCTGCTGACGGCATGTACGAGTTCTCCGTCAGGATCTCTCAGGGAGAAAAACACAGCAAGTGGAGCGTCTCCGTGTTTCAAAGGACTCCTGAGTCCGGTTCGTACTTCTACTGTGGGCTGAAAGCAATTTGCTCTTGCCTTATTTCCCCTGTTAGGTCTTTTCTACTTATTTCTTCACGCCACACCTCATCACGATCACCACCTAACCCCCCACCCTGCATCTGATATGTAGTTTTGGCTGCAGCTGTGTCATGATTGGGGCTGTTGTACAAAGTCACAGGAGCTCCTGAGCTGCGGTTCATTGGAATGTCAGAATTTACTGCCTGGCTCTCTGTTCAGATCTCCATCTGCAGCTCAATGCAAACTGTCATCGGATAGTTTCCATCCGTTCATGGCAGCTGAATTTTGCTCAGTTGAAGAGATTTTGGCACAAGAGTCTTTACTTTTCTTCATGCTTTAAGCAACACTTTTCTAAAACTTCTTTACTCTGCAGTGCCTGTCTCTTTTTTTACTGCTCCTGTTTCATCTGTCTTTCCATTCATTTTTCCCCCCCTCTCCTTTCTTTGATAGCYCCATCTGGACCACCTGAAGATTTTGAGGTCAAGCCACTACGAGGAAAAGGAACTGCTGTCATTGCAACGTGGAATCCTCCAGAAGAACCCAACGGCAGGATAAGAGGTGGAAATAAGTTGGTGTTTGAAAAACAGTTAAAGATAAATGTTGAACTGAACTTTAAAAATATTGAGCTGATGAATTAAAGATGCTGAACGAGAAAGTCTTAGGCTGAGTTAACAAGTTCCAATAAGTTACTTYAAGTGCATATTTTTTGTGATTAATATGAATGCATTTTTAGAAAAATAACATTGCAAAAAWCACTCCTCAGACATAAACAGTTGTTGAGGTATTTGCWTGTAAAGTAACAAGAAGTGATGTCAAAGGGGAATGTCTGCATCTAAACAGAGCATTGATACGGCTGACAACCCAGAGAGAAGAATCTGCTGTTTCTTTAGATTATTTTGAGTCACTATTAGAAGTGTCAGAGTTCAAATAACGTGGTTTCAATTAACAAAGACCAGGGAGTTTTTTTRCCCCTAAATAGTTCCTCTATGATGTCACTTCCTGTTTCACTTTGGCTGAGCCAAGTTCAAAAGAAAACATTCCAGTTATGTGACAAAATGGATGAAATTGTGTACTATGCCAAGTTTCTTAAATATAAAGATGTTTTCTTTGATTATTATTATTTTTTTTAAATATGCATATCACAGGCACTTTATCTGTGAGCTGAGTTTTAGGTTGGTCATAGCATCAAATCCTCTCAACTTGTTTTCAATGAATTTGAGCTACAGTAACAGCTTCAAAACTTTAAGGCAGAATTTAAAAAATTACTTTTTGAACCTCAAAATTAAACACACAACTTCACAGTTCCTTTGAAATCTTTATGCTTTACTTCCACAGAATATATCTTGTCTTACGCCCCTGCAATGAAACCGTTTGGCATGAAAAGTATCACATACCGTGGTGGCACCACCACAGCCACCATAGATGGTCTGACCCCAGGAGAGCGTTACATTTTCAAGATAAGAGCCACCAACAGGAGGGGAATGGGACCACAAAGCAAGGCCTTCAGCGTAGCCATGCCACAGTGTYAGCACATTTGACTGTGAACAGGAAATGAATGTGTGTACGCTTGAAAATTCTCCATGATCATGATCATTTTTTGTCTCTTGTCAGCCAGGAGTGCTGGCTCGTCATTTTCCAAAACAGTGGACAGCCAGAGGAGCAGCCACACYTCTTCTAAACAGGATGTGGACGACGAAGAACCCAATCCTCCGACAAAAGAGYTGCCAGAGGAACAAACTACAACCCCTAAGCCACCCATCAAGCGTGTGCGCCCACTCTCCCAGTCACGCTCCTACCACAGTATCTTTTCTTCCGTCAGAGGCTCAGTCAGGAATGGGATAAACAGAGGTTCAGCTAAAGAAAAGGTTCAAGAAAATGAGGAACAAGAAGAAGATAAAGTACCCACAACTCCACCTCCTACAGAAGAGACAACTACGGAAGCCATGCCAGAAACAGAAGATCTAGACAACAATGTCTCCCTTCTGTCTGAGGATGAACTTGAATATATCAAAGAGCCCATGACTACTGAAACCCCAAGTCTTAAASTTTTAACACCCTCTCCAACCAAACCTGTGCATAAAAGTCCTTATCAACCAAACAGAAGGCCGGTTAAGATTAGGGTTCATCAAAAAGCTGAATCAAAGGTTACATCCTCCTCATCATCACCCAAAAATCCCTCTTCATCTTCATCATCATCATCCTCTGCAACGTTATCATTCCCTTCTTCACGTATTCAAGAGTCTGCAGCGAGTAGAAAGGACCATGTAGTCTCTGCATTTCCAAAGACACAAAACATCTACAATAAACCCAATGTAACACAAGCAAATCCTTCTACTACAGGTAGACAAGAAATGGACTCACAGCAGACAGATTCTACACTGAAGAGCACTGGTTCTTCTTCAGCAGAGCATGGCAGCAGTTCTACTTCTGTTCTTTCTTCAAGGTTTGGTTCTGGTCGAAGACAACCTGGAGTTTTGTTTAGAGGAAATGCAACTCGATTGCTAAATGGCTACAAACCTGCCATCACCACTCAGCTGAAAATCCCAAGCAGAACCCAAAGCCAGGTTTCCTTAAACTCACGTACTTCAGCTAATTCTCAGTCTACCTTACCAGAAAGAACTCAAAGTCATGAAACATCATTGAGTTTCATTCCGAAAACATCCACATCAACTTCAAGCTCGAACAGCCATTCAACATCAGGCTTGGATAACTCTAACAAATCACAGTTCACATCAAATTCAAGGTCTCGTGATTCAAAAACTCTATCCCCTTCACAGAGAAGAATTTACCATGCAACTGAAGACAATCCAGGTTCTTCTCAGTCAACTTCACAAAGAGCATCTCACAGCTCTGAAGCTTCACGCGAAATACACAACTCACTCGTTTCACATTCATCACCTGATCTGAATGCATCATTCAAGGAGGGACATGATGACAGTAATTACAAACAAGAAGAAGACAAAAAACCCAAAGTCGAAGTGCCCGCTTCAAGTTCTAGAGTACAACCCACAGATCAAAATAAAGAGGAAGAAAAAAAAGTTGAAAGCGCAAATAAAAAGCCCACGCTTTCTCGTACTAGAATTAGTTCTTCGTTTGCTGAACGGTTCCCTTGGCTCGCCAGTCGCTACCCAGACAAGTTTGTCTCAAGTACAAGGGRGTCATCTTCCAGGCAAGATGGAGGGACTTCTTCAACCAGGGTGTCATCGTCTGTAGGGGCTGGCAGACCACTTTCAGGAGGGACACCTGTTAGGGTTTCAGGGGCTGCAGGCGTTACAGGAGATTTGGTAAAACAGGACACCACTGAAGATCTGAGAACTCCATCCAAACATGACTTGTTAAAGACTAGTGTTGGAGTGAGTTCAGTTAAGCCCTCTTTGAACAATCAAAATACAAGACCTGGTGACACTAAGAGTCCAACAACCTCCACGTTTTCAAACTCTGAATCCAGCCCACGTGAAAAATCAACTGGACACAAAGATTTCAGTGATCCCATTCACAAAGAAATCTCAAAGAATGATGATCATAAGGACGYCCTAAACTCAAGGAGTGGTGAAAAGAACGAGAAAGCTGCAGACCACAAGGCAGCTCAAGCAAATCCTACGTTTACTTCAGCCATCTACAGGAATGGAGAAAAGGATGAGAGTGGGAGTACAAGGGAGACTTCATCCAGGACCAGGGCCGGCACTTCAAGTGGAGTCAGTCCAAGTCAGCGTCGTCTCGGTGTAGGAATGAACGGACGACTGCGCTCTTCTCTGTTAGCCAACACGCAGTTTGGTGGGTCGAGGCTTCCTATCAGGCCACAGCAGGTGCAAAACTCTCGACTGGGTGGTTCAACATCGGACTCCTCATCATCGCTCGATGCCTCTGCCTCCTTAAATGTACCGAAACCTGCCTTGAACTCAGCTCAAACTGCTGGTGGTGACACTACTGTAACAAAAGTGTGGGGTGGCAACTCTCTGTCCTCATCGTCATCAAGTTTAAGAAATCAAGGGGGAAGGCCTCGCTATCCTATTGTTAGAGGGAAACTGAACAATGGAGGAGGATTCAGATCTGGCAATGGAAATGGTAAAGTCATTTGGTATGTGCATGTGATTAAACACTGGTAAAAAAAAAAAAAAAAAAGCACACGAACAACCATTTGCTAAAACTGTACAAAACAAGGTGATACTGTAAAACTTGTATTTTTTAAAATTCTGTGATTCTGAACTAAATCTATAACCAGTAGGTAAAAATGAACAACCAAATCTGACTGCAACAAAAGAAAAAGAGACTCCTTCTTCTGGTGGAAATAGCAAGACTACAGGGCAGAGGTTTATCACTGGGCCCGATGGAACCAAATGGGTAATGAAGTTTAATGAACTCATCACAGTTTTGTAACCCACAGATGTAATCTTCAGTTTCCCATTGTTGTATCCTGCATATTTAAAGAAATAAATTATGATACTAAAAGGAATTTATGGAAGGAGCTAAACATAAAAATGTTGCCCGGTTGTTTTGTAGTTGATTAAATATTTGTGAACAGAATAAAGTGCCTTATGTCTTTGGTTGTAATTTCGTTTGCCCAGGTGGTTGACTTGGAGAGAGGGTTTCTAATGAACCAGGATGGGAAAATTCTTCAGGACTCCCAAGGCAAACCCAAGAGAGTGGTCCTCGGAGAAGATGGGCGTACCATTTTTGGTAGTGTTTTGTCTGTGTAAAATTTAAAACTCAAAATATGTGAAAACTGTACTCAATCAAATCTATAAAATCTAAAAGTGAAGCTATTTTCWAATATGTTTAATGAAATGGATTGTCTAAAACAAATGTGTTTAAGAATCAGTATTGATGAACGGCTCAACAACGAATTGAACTGTTTGATATGAAGTTATAAATATCAGGTTTGTTCTTCTGCTGRCTGACTTTGTGCCCACAGACCACATGGGTAGTCCTCTGGTGAGTCAGGAAGGCCTCGCTCTATTTGGCCATGGCAGAGACAGCCAGCCTGTGGTAAACCCCAAAGATAAGGTCCTCACAGTCGGAGGAAAACCTGTTCTTGGTTTGAACCTGCTTCGCCCCAGGACATCCATCACCACAACCACAAAGGCTCCTACCACCACAGCAGAACCCACCACCACTGAGTGGACTACAGAGGTTAGCACTGCTCTGCCATACCCAACCTGTCCACCTGGAACCTTCGCTAAAACAGATGAATATGGAAACCCCATTTTGGATCCAGAGGGAATTTTGGACTGTTATCCAGAAGGTGAGTCACGTAAAGACTAAATAAAGATTTGTGTGAAGGAATAACACAATGTACTGTAGCCCTCCTATTTAAGTCATTGATTAGGTTCTCCATGGAGCTGAAGTTGATTCAAGAGCCAAAATAATGAACATAAAAATGTATGATCTCACTCAGTTGTATTTGGACTAAGTGTGTAAGTGTTTTTATCTGTGCACAGTGTCTTATTAGTCTGTGTGTGTGTGTGTGTGTGTGTGTGTGTGTGTGTGT